CGGTCTCGCCTTCCTTGTGCTACCCCCTACCGCCCCCCAGGGCCGCGCCTCCCCCCTCCTCCCCAGATTCTATCTTCTTTCCCTCCTCTCCTGCCTGAGTTTCTCTCGCCATCTCTCCCGCGCCTCGGCTTCTCCTCGATCACCATCCCCATCCCCCGTCCTGTGAGCCCCTCCAACTCTCTCCGTGTTTTGTCCCTCTTCTGTGCTCACTCCATTTCTTCTCGTCTGCGCGCGCACACGCACACACACACACACACGCACACACACACGCGGGCCTCCCACGCTCTCCTTCCTCTCCCCCGTTCCAGCCCGTCCTCCCGAATATCAAACAATCCGCGCGGGTTCTGGGACCCTTTTTAGCTCAGCGTCCCGACTCCAGCACCGTTTTCATTCGATCCAACCGGTTAGTGGCGAAGCGATAGCGTCCTAGGACGGGGTTTGAGGCAGGGCCTGGGAGAACTTCATGGGACTGACCAGCCCGGGGGCGCCGCGCGGGCGGTGCAGAACCAGCCCACGCACCCGCGAACCTCAGTGACCCTGCAGCCTACAGGGCCAAGTCAGTTACACAAACGCCCTGCTCTTGTTATCTCGCGAAGGAAACAATCGTTATTGTTGGCGAAGCGACAATTCCCCGGGCGTGCAGGTGGGCGGCGGGCAGAGTCCCCTCCTGGCGATCCCCAGATGCACAACAAAAACAGACGATCCCAGCCCACTCTCCCGACACAAGGACCTCTGGCGTGAAGCGCGGGCCGGGAGGCAGACGGGTTCTGAGCCTGGAGGTTCCTGGCTGGCCTCGGCTCCTGGGAGGGCTGGGGCCCCGCCGGCGGCCCCGCAGTGCCGGGTGCATGACAGTGCTGTCCCTCTCCCTCCCCCGGTGCAGGCGGCAGACGGCGGAGGAGCGGGAGGCGGAGCGGCAGCAGGCTAGCCGGCTCATGCTGCAGCTGCAACACGACGCCTTCCAAAAGAGCCTCAACGACTCCATCCAGCCCGACCCGCTCTGTCTGCATAACTCGTCGCTCTTCGCTCTGCAGAATCTGCAGCCCTGGGAGGAGGATAGTTCCAAGGTCCCCGCCGTCACCTCGCTGGTGTGAGCCACCAGTACGCACCGTCGCCACAGATCGCCATCCCCACCCGGCGGGGCACCTCGGACCCGCAGCCGGGCTG